ACATGCATATAAACCCCCAAATCAATATTGAGGATTTTCTTCCAATAGTTCGTGCATCATGAACAGAGAAAAATACTGTAGCAGGCAGATCACTCACTGTGCATTCGTCTTCAATGTCTCTGGCCTGTGTTAACCGGCATTTACAGACTTCATATTTTCACATAAATGACATTTTGGAAAACTATTGCATTGCAATGCAGTTTGTGCAAGTCCAGAACAGAGACGAGTTGCTTGCAATAAGACAAAAAACGGCCAGTTGCCGATCGTGTAAGTTCCAGGGGAAGCTCCTTAAAGTCCCCATGAAATCAAAATTAAAGTTTTTTGGGTGTTAGGTTAAGACAGCTGACTCCACTGTGATGTGTCTCGCGCTCTCTCTCGCTCGCACGCACACACACACCGCTCTCTCTCTCTCTCGCTCTCTCTCTCTCGCTCGCGCGCACACACACACACATTCGCCAAATAAAGTGCTTTTGCTTTCGCACTGAAACACACAGCGTCTCCCTGACATGGCTGCTTCAACACTAACTGCGGTTACTGACACCATGCCTTCTTTCTTTGCGTGCACATTTGCGGCGGGATTATGCAAATATTTCCACATAGTGGGGTAGATATGTGGGGGCGTGTTAGAATGAGCCGTTTTAGGGGGGCGTGGCAGAGTCTTAACTTTGATAAAGAATATCTCTTTGGTTTTGAGACTTTAGCCTTTGCAACTTCAGGGATCTTATCTATGCACAATCAGCTTGTAACACTCCAAAGAGAAAGGAAAACTTGAAATCGCATCATATGACCCCTTTAAGTTTATCTATAAGGCAACTCCAAAACAGTGACAAAATTTGCATTTGCGAGTCGGCGCAGACCACAAAATGTATCGGAGCTATTTGAATTCTACATAGAATGCTATATTTTATAGCAATATGGATGAGATTGTGGCTGGCATACCCTGTCAAATGCGGCTTTACGGAGCTCAACGGCTCTAGCCCAAGCTGTGATATAACCGAACGCTATTAGACATTTTAAAAAGGGGCGGGGCTGCTTGATATGTTCCGCCCTGTCATCTTGTTTCAGTTTAAATGACGTCAACACAGAGTAACGCTGCATGTTTCTAAGCATTTCAGGGGACCTTTAAGTTCGGCCATCCTACACACACGTGACATCGCTCGCTCGCACCAACAGGAGGAGGAGGGTTGTGTTACTCTCTACACTGCACTCAACCTGAGGGATTCCTACACTTTCAGTCTTTGAGGAGACATGAAAAACAGCGCATACCGCAGGAACGGTATAATGGAAAATATTAGCGGTTTTGAAACAGTGACATTTTCAAATCGCGGTATACCTTGAAACCGGTAATCGGCCCATGCCTAGTGCGGACACCTTGTGCTCAAAAATACATCTGGAGCCATTGTAACCTACTTTTTGTTTATAAGATCTCTATGGCAACATTTCAGTTTGTGCATATCATTTGAATTACTTCACTAAGTGATTGTTTAAAATGTTGAGTGCAACAGACCAAAAACGGTTAGACCAGTGGTTCCCAAACCTGTCCCTGGAGGCCCCCCTGCCCTGCACCTTTTGTATGTCTCCCTTATCTAACACACCTGATTCCACTCATCAGCTCGTTAGTAGAGACTGCAAGAACTAAATTGGGTGTGTCTGATTAGGGAGACATACAAAATGTGCAGGGCAGGGGGTCCTCCAGGACAGGTTTGGGAACCACTGGGTTAGACTAATGATTCGCAACCTATTCTGGAAGGAGACTAACTTTTCAAAGTGCAAATAAATGAAGGATAGCTAATGATCACTTGCTACCCTTAACCTCAAATTAAATTTAGACTGATCTGAACTATTTAAAACAAGTCACATCAGGACATAAATGTATTGCTTAGTCAAATTGTCATGTTATTTCCCATAAGTTTTTGGTGTTGACCTGACTCAACCCTGCAACAAAAGTTCAAACTTGTGAAAGACTTCCAAGGTCAGTAGCTCAGCTTTGTTTGGACATACAAATTTAATCTGATCCAATCCTGGATTACGGTCTCCTCGACACAGTTCAATCACACACCGGATTTGTCAACAACTCGCTGCTCTCACACTCTTTGTTGATAAAATTGTGCGGAGCAGTTGCAGAGGATGATGCAAGTGCTTATAGATCCTACACACAATATGCTCATCTTCATCACTGGCTACAAAACATCTTTGAGCGCCTTTCACAAGCCCAAAAGCAAAATTTACCAAAAGTTCTAAAATCAAGCCTTGTTAAATTTTTGAACAAAGTCTGATCTTTTTGCAGCCAAGATAGTGGCAAACATCGGTGAAGATGAATTATTGATTCAGCAATTAAAGAATTTTTAACACATTAAGCCATGCCTAAGTTCTGCAAGGAGCTGCATATTTCATAACTTTTCAATGCAACCTTTTCCATGAATTCTGAATATTTTATGTTTCTAAATCCCATACCTAGAGCTGGATTGAGCCATTCACTGCCTTTTCACACCCTCTCTGAAAAGTGCATGGGCTTTCCTAATGTTCTACACTTTTTGCCCTTGAGATCAGCACTTCAACGCAGGATGCAATATGGCGTCTGTCCCAGTGAAACTGGCAAAAAAGCGGCCATTCCCTAAATGACAATGCTCACAGAGCACATTCCCTTCAATTAGAAGCAGGCCAATTCTCAGTTTAGTCTTGGTCGTGTTGCTGAATGACAATTCTTCAATGACACAGCTTATTAGCTTGCTATTTCTGTCTGGATCAGAGAAACTGGCCCAAACACGTGACATCCAATAGCCCACATACTTACATCAAAGCTGTTGAGGGCGTAGGCCAGTTCTCCTCCACCTGCAGACTGGGAGAAGCTGGAGTCCTCACTGCTGGTAGCCTGTGCTGCATTAGATATGCCGGAGACAGCGTGCTGCAGCTGCTTGTAGATGAGGTCCCGGTTGGCCTTGTACGCCGCCACATCTGGGTGCTGCAGGCAGGCACGTGAAGCTGTGTACAGCATGGGAACGTTCCTCTGAAGGACACCGCGAGCCGCCGCCATTTGGTCTTTGTGATGGACGTCCTTGAGTTCCTGTCATTTGAAGAGGGGGAAGAGGGAGAATTCAGGGGTGATGTTACAGGCCTGTCATAATAAGGACATTAAAGAGCATCCCCCAAGGGCTCTCACATGCTCATAATCAGATCATGACCATACAGCCTGTAGAAACAAGTGCCATGTGGAACCAAAGTAAATATGATCACTTTTGTTAAGTGAACACATTGGGTATTTTGTCTACTTTTTTTTTTATTATTGCCAATGTACATAATGAGTCAGATGGACATAATTTTTTTTCCTTCATGCCATAAGTGCCACATTTTTAAGACGACGTGTCAAGTTAATCAACGTCCTGCTCCATACGCACTCCATCTAGCTGTATGAAAGAGGAAATGCATCCTGCCCTCTAATCTAAAGTGTTGCTGTTGCTGTCCCATACTTAAAGTCTGTGTACATCGTTGACACAAATTGCTGTCTGTCAGAACACAAGTTTGCAGTCAAACCTAAGATCGCCCAAGCGTGGACTAGCTCTCACTGAAAATTACTTCAGCTCTTGGTGGAAAAAAGCATAACTTCTGAGACAGAAGTAGGGAAATGTTTTTCAAAAATTTAATACCAGAGCAATTTGCACCTTGGGAGAGAGGCTGTAGCGACTGTCGACTGATTCACGAAATTATAAACTTAGAAGGGCCCAGTGTAGCATAAAAGGGGAAATCACTCTAAATAAATAAAATGAACAGCTCCATATTCTAACAGAGAAATAATCAGCATTATCAAGATACTATAATCTCTCTCTATTCCGAAAAAACTTTAATTCTATTAACCCTAATCAATGAGCTCACCTGGAAAATTCATGCTAAAATCCATCACTGCTGACTACTGCTTAACCTGATAAGCCCAAAAAATACCAAAGACACAATTCTCATATCATTTTAATGGATTTCGTCACTCTAGCTGCTCCATCCTAGTCATGCTTTTCCCCAACCGATACAAAGATTGTTCGTGACTATACGCATCAAATCTTCAACCAGAGCTACATAGCTCCTTGCTGCACATGTGGGCGGAGGATGTAATTCTATTCCAAGTCAGTACATCACTGAATGAAATTAGATCTCCTCAGATTATGAGGACATTGGGTATGAGGAGTGGCTGCATTTTACCTGCTGCCTCTTGGCCGCCATCACGTTCAGTTTGTCCACCTCCGGTTTCAGAGCTTTGTACTGGATACCCAGGTCCTGCTCAGTGCCAGCGTTACGTACCTTCACCAGGCTCTCCTCAACCTGTGGGTCAAGTATGATAAACAGTTAAAGCAGGGGTAGGCAAGTTCGGTCCTAGAGAGCCGCAGTCCTGCAGAGTTCAGCTCCAACCCTAATCAAACACACCTGAACAAGCTAATCAATGTCTTCAGGATTACTAAGGCTATAGGCAGGTGAGTTTTGTTTTCAGGGTTGGAGCTGAACTCTGCAGGACTGCGGCTCTCTAGGACCGAACTTGCCTACCCCTGAGTTAAAGAAAAAGTCTTAATGGACTACGGACATTAAGTAAGACATTTAAAAATCATTCATGTGTTTATCCTGTAGGCATTGTATTTCTTAAACACCATACAACTCAATTTCAAGGGAATAATCGTGCAGCCCTTATATATTAGGGATGCACCGAATATATGGCAACCAAAATTATAATATAAGCGAAAAGACAGAATAAGCGAAAAGACAGAATAAATTGTACTGAACAATGATATGACGCGATCAAATAGCAACCAGCGCAGAGTGAGAGGCGCGCACTCTTTATTATGCAGCACACACGTCAGCAGTCAGCAATATTTTGATTCTTTGATTAGGCTAATACAAAGTTAAAAAGAACAGCATTTATTAAAAATAGAAATATTTTCTAGCAATACAAGTCTTTATCACTTTTTATCCATTTAACATCCTTGCTGAATAAAAGTATTAATTTAAAAAAAAAAGAAAAAAAATTACCGACCCCAAACTTTTGAATAGTATAGTGTATATTGTAATACAAAATTTCTATTTTGAATAAACACTGTTCTTTTTAACTTTTTATTTATCAAAGAATCCTGACAAATATCACAGGTCCCAAAAAATATTAAGCACCGCAACTGTTTCCAACATTGATTATAAATTAGCATATTAGAATGATTTCTGAAGGACAATGTGACACTGAAAATTCAGCTTTGCTTTACAGGAATAAATTAAATTTTAAAGTATATTAAAATAGAAAACTTTTATTTTAAATTGCAATAATATTTCACAATATTATTTTGTGAAATAATATTCAGTATTTTTTATCAAATAGATACAGCCTTGATGAGCCTAAGAAACTTCTTTTAAAATTTACTGATCCCAAACCTTTGAACGGCAGTGTATTATACTGTAAAAAATATTTTCTCAGGTAACCTAAAATGTACATCATTTAGTTACATCAAGGGTCAAATCAAATATAAATAGCATATTAAAGTTAAAAGTTACACACTTTTTTGTGTGTATGCGCTGTACAGGTCTGCTATAAAGAATGTTTTTGCTCAGGTGGCCGAAATGTCTGCCCAATAGAGAAAAGTTTTGCTCAGCAAGAACAAAAATTAGAGGGAACATTGCTTACATGCAACTATTACAAAAAGTTCAAACGCTCACTAATGCTCCAGAAGGAAACACGATGCATTAAGAGCCTGTAGGTGAAAACTTTTTGAATTTGAAGATCAGGGTAAATTGAACTTATTTTGCCTTCTAGGAAACATGTAAGTACCTTCTTTAGCTTCTGAAGGGCAGTACTAAAAGAAAAAAAAATTGTCTATTTAGGCAAAATAAGAAAAATTTACACATCTTCATTCTATTCTATAGTTTACACCCCCTGGCTGAAATATCTTCTTAATGTCAGTACAAAATAAAAAGTAACATGCATTTTGTATGATCCCTCTTATTTTGGTAAAATAATTAACATTTTGCAGATACTGTAAAGTGTATGTACAATTTTAACCACAACGAGAGAGAGACAGAGAGAGATGAAATTATTGTACTGAAAAATGATTAGTGACAACCATTGAGCTAGAAAACCTGCCACCTACAATCAAATTGTAATCAGTGCACTTCGTTCCAACACTGTTGTAAAAAAATTCATTAATAAAAAACAAATAATAATGTCCAACTCTATCATGATTTCACTTTTCATAGTTTATTCTAATTAATTCAACAAATGCATTAGCCAAATCATTAGTACATTAGTCAAAATCAGACAAGAGAAATATTCCATGGTCACACAAGCATACTTAAAAAGCTTCTCATTTGATCATTCAAGCTGAGCTCCCAAAACAATTCAATAAAGAAGAAAAAAAACAAGAAAAACAGCGCCTTCTCTTCCACAAGAAAGCTTTGGCTTCCACTTGCACAAACTTACATCATAAACTTCAAGCAAAAAACACTGGCATAAAAATCTAATTGTAACTAGGGCTGGACAATAATTCAATATCAAAATGTACTGCGATATATTATTTTTTTTTCAATAACGGTGATATGATTTTTAAACACATTTCTGATATTTCAATATACATCACCAGTGTTTCCCATACATTGATTTATTTGTGGCGGCCCGCTGCGATATCAACACTGACCGCCACAAACAGATTTCCAAAAGGCTTTGACAGTTTGACTTCGTTGAATAAACATGAGCACTGCACATTTCAAAACCAAAACGCGGCACGGGTGTTTTATATGAATGAATCTTTGAAGGAACCGACGGTCTTCAGAAAAGTTTTGATGGGATTTTCGTTTTATCTGATAAAGCAGCATTTATGAGCAGAGCGCTGCTTTGTTTACAGCCGTTACCGGGGAAACCGCTGTTTCTGCAGCGCAAAAAGTGCCTCCTGCTGGCAGAGAATGAATGTGCATTTTCAATCAGCCCGTCTCCAACTCTGAGCACTTTTCATATTCTTTATTCTGGCTGAAGCACTTTTGTTTCAATGTATGAGAATAATCAGCCTATGTTATAGATTAAAGTTAAAGATATTAATATAAATAAGGTGAGTCTGAGAGTCTTATGTTTATTTGACGTGATTTCACATTTCTTGTTTGTATAAAGGCTAAATACAAATAAAAGGTGAACATTAATTTATTTGTACCGTTTCTATTTCTAAAATATTATATAGTTTTATAAGAGGAGGTTTTGTAGACTTGGCAAATTAATTTTTCAGAAGTTTGTAGGTACAGACATCTGTTGTGGGCGTTCTTGGCAGTTTTTCTGAGGCTTTTTATTATATTGTTCATATCAATATCAGAATTATATCGTATCGGCCGAAATCAAGAAATATATAGTGATATAAATTTAGGCCATATCATCCAGCCCTAATTGTAACACTGAAAAAATAATCCACCTGTATCATATCATATTTTCAATTAAATTTCTCAGAGGGATGCTTTTCACAGCCCTGCCAACATGGTGAATGGGGCTGGGTATCGATTCAGATATCCCGTATCGAATCGATGTCATTTAAAAAAACGATTAATCGAAAAATCGATATATATTTTTTGCCCAGCCCTAATGGTGAAATCATTTTGTGCTCAAACGTGACAAGACCTCTCTACGCTGCATCAAGGACTACTAGTGTTGTTACGTTCGTGAACGAATCGTTCTTTTTGAACGAATCTTTTTGGTGAACGAATCGTTCTCGTTCACGTAATCCATTGACTCATATTTCTCGTTCACTGAAATTCCTCCCTCCAGAGCAGCGCGGCGCTATTGGCAGCGCATGCGCAGATCAGTGAACCGGGTAGCTCTGTGGACGGTTTCATCCTGTCAAAGAATGACTAAACCTCGAGCCAATAGCCTTCGAGTATGAGATGTGACGGACCATGTGATTTGTTGAATGTAGCGAACGAATACGCCCTTCACTGAACGAGTTTCTTTTGAGTCTGAACGAGATCGAGAGATCTTCTCGTTCATGAACGAAATGACCGAACTGCTACATCTCGTTTGTGAACGAGTTGAATGAACTGCTACATCTTGATAATATGAAGAAATGGTCACTGAACGAATCAGTGAACGAATCTGAACGAATCATTTTGGTGAACGAACTGAAAATGAACGAATCTCTTGAAAGAATCAAAATTTTCATCACTAAGGACTACACAAAGTGTGATTCAATAGCATGTTGCTTACAGAAACAGAAAGTGGATGTAATCTAGTTTGTAACAACCTATAGACTGAATGCAAATAAATCTAATATAAAACCTAGGCACATGTGAAACACAAATTGTAGGCAACAGGAAGGCTTGCAACATCCAGCTTCCATTCAGGATTTTCTTTATATATGAAGTGTTAATATCCACACAGAGTAACTGGGTTTGCAGTGCATATAATTACTGTTGGAGGAAGTTCAAGAAGGGTTGGGCAGTAAACCCAGAGGGCAATACAAGCACGGACACCAGTGCAGATGATGAAGCAGGCATGTGATCAGCTAGACAAACAAGAAGGAAAATCTGACCACGCCCCCCAAGCTATGCCCCCGCCACTTACTTAAAAAAAATAATAAATAAATAAAAAAAAAATATATATATATATATCATCACGTTAAAAGGTATATCTTATATTGTAATACTTACTATTAAGCAGCATTTAATAATCATGATAATAATTAATAATATAATTTGTGCCGTCAATCGATTTAAAAAAAAAATGTACTAAATCGCAATTTTTTTCTGAAATTAACTGATTAATCGCGATTAATCCCACCTAGGACTGGGCTGTATATCAACTTTGTATGATATATAGATATATTCTTTATAAGCGATAAGGTATAAGGCAATACCGGTTATATCGATATACAGTAGTTTGAAACGAACGTATCTGAAAAATAGCAGAGGACACAGAGTGAGCTGCTGCAGGGAAAAATACATAATCCAATGTGTCCTAAACTTGAGACATGCTTTATATTAAGAGCTTTAAAATAACTCGTAAGGTATTGTTAACACGTGTAGTTTAAAGCGGTTTGCCCCATCCGATGTTCTGACAGATATGATACTTGCACTGTTTAATGCGTTTTAGATGTGGTGTTTTCCTCAGTGCATAACTTACATTTCACTGGTATATTCTCCATCTGTAAATGTTAGAAAGTCATGGAAATATTTCCATTTTGCTGTCAGGAACACATGAGCCTTCTGCACGTCATTCTCCACTAAACTTCACAGACTTCAGTAAACGAGCGACGCCGCACGCATGCGTGCCAAACAGATGGGGCGCAATGGAATATGAGTGCAATAATTCCGACTGA